AGAGAGAGAGAGAGAGAGGTGGAACGAGCCCAGCTACGCATACAAAGCTCCTCTAAGCTGACATCTGGGCCAGCCTGATGCTTTTCCTGGAAACTGTTCTTCCAACAGCAAAGTCACAGTTAAAACCAGCTTTTAACAAATATACAGTAGAAATAGGACAACAATAGAGATCAGGTGGGGAAACCAATCATAGACACTTTGAATACTCTACAGACCTGTCAGTAGTTTATCAAAAAAGTTTAATTAATATAAAAATAATTTTCAGGCCGTGGACAGTAGCCTTGCCCCCTGATAATAATCAGCAGCTTCTTTGTAACGCTTGTCCTTCGTGGTGTACTTACTGTGTGCATCATAGTATTGTAAGCACCTTATAGTGCTTTTCTTTAGTGACCCTCACTCCAAATACATTCTTTCATCAGTTCCAGTGTTAAAAATATTGCTAGTTAAGTTTAAAACAACCTTCATTGTGTTCTGTTTTTATTTATTTTTTCTTGGCAGTATTGAAGGACTATTTGTGGATGTATCAACCTAATTTCCCCACAAGAAACATTCAAATTGAATCTAATCATATTTGATCAACATGAGGCAAATGCTATTTATTTTGACACTGTTTTAATTATAAATTAAATTTTAAACTACAATAAAAAACTACAAAATAAGCCTAAATAAGTAAATGCAGCTCTTATGTATGAAAGAGACCAATAGAATTTGGTAATTATTGCCAGTTGCACAAGGAGGACAGTATATCGTGAAACAAGTTACACAGAAAAGCAATAACCACATTCCCAGGCTTAATCTCAAGTCATATGAGACATGAGTCAGATCCTCACTCCTGCCCTCCTTTTCTTCCCTCCTCCCATCCTTACCCTACCACTCATTAGCCAGGGATGAGTCAGACGAATGCTTTTTTGGTGAGAGAAAAGAGTGAGGGAAGGGAGTGTGCAGGGATGAGTGGAGGAAAAGACTGAAGATGAGAGAGATAGGGGGAGTGTTAAAAAAGCTACAAGATTCACCAAGGGGCGTTGCCAGGGGACTGAAAAACCCAGTGTGACGTTAATGAAATACTTATTAAGGACAGACAGCCATTAATCTAGTGTTCTGTTACATCATTCATACAGTATTAATGCTGGGAATCCCAGGCCAGGCACAACAGACATGAAATGGTGTGTAACTCCTCCATGGTGCTAATTGGAGGTTAATGTTGACAACTTCGTCTGTAACCTTGGAGCTGTGGTGCACCAGGTACTGTGAAAGAGGGGCTGTCAAATTAGAAACAGACTCATTGACCTAAGGCTAGAAAACTGAAGGCTGGTTTCATCATCAATGAATCTCTCGATTATTTTTCTGACATACTGAAAAAATACATATTAAAATGTCAGAAAATAGAAAAAAAATGTCCAAATTGTTAAATTACTTAAATTATACACACACACACACAGCTACACAATCTCACTCTGACCTGATTTGAATCTCTATACTGTCCTATCAAGAGATAACAAGGGAAAGTTTTAGGTTTTAAATACTCTCTTTGATGTTTGGCTCTTTGACATGACTGTGTTACATTTTAACACCCATACTCTTACTCGTCCTTGCTTCACCTTCACAAAATGCTCCCCATACCTGTCAGTACCTTCTATAATGCCCGCGGCAATAGAGTCTGAGACTCTTCTGTATCTCTCTCCCACTTTCTCTGCTTGTCTTTCCTCTGTAATTAGTAAGGATATATGAGCGACCTCTCCCCCCATTGTGTTATAGAGCGAGCCGATCCAGACTCCTTGCCTCCAGAGTGAGCTATGTGGCGCGTGGCCTACTTCCTCCACTCCCCTACCCGAGGGAATAAAACAGTCCGGAAAAAAAGTTAAGGACACAGCAACTGGTGCAGCCAGGAGTGAAGCAAGGGAGGAATTAATACAGAAAGAAAGACTGCATCTGACTGTTGAGAAAATTATTCAGTTTTTCCACGCATCTCCATCACTCTCTGCTCTGCTTTGCCATCTTGTTAGCCTCCTTTCACGATACTCTTTCATCACTTTTCACTACAGTTCCTATTTTTCACGACTATAATCTAACTAAAACATTGCAGGGATTCATGTCGTGTTTCCTCTAAGTTGGTAGCAAACACAGACCTCAGCAGAAAGATGTTTGGAGAACACACATACAGATCATTTATTTTTATTCTCTCCAGCTTTACACTCAAGCAGTGTAATACCTCCCTGAGCAGTGTGTGATAAACATCTTCAGTCACTGGGCCCTTTAAGTGGCAATACATAGCTATAAATAGGAGCGGTTGTCTCATTAGGGCCCAATCAATCGAAGATAGAATTACAGGGGAAAGGATGGGAAAGCTAAGATCTGAATTAGTATACCAAGCTATTCACACTAAAAGGAGACCGAGGACAGCACAGGACACAGCTCTGGGAAATATCAACTGGGGAAAGAGGAGAATAAAAGATTGAATGAGGAAGATAGGGGACAAGAGAGGATGCTGGAGTTTGTCACAGTCTTTTTGTGTTATCTTCCTTCCTCTCTTTTTTTTTACTGTCTCATTTGTTCCCATCACAGAACTGTGCTGTTCCAGTCTGCATAAGTACAGCACAGTGCTGATTCTGTGCTGGGGAAGACAGCGACACACAATTTATGAATATGAAATTGAACAGTTGGTTGAAGTCTGTACTTCATTTAGTCAAATTTTACCAAACAGGACTTGACTTGAATGACTCAAAGAAAATTTGATGTTGCCTCTTTTTTCACAGTTTTTTCTTTTTACAAAGATTGATCAAGTGTGTCCGTACTGACTGTCCTCACAATACAGTGTGCTCTTGCGTTTCCTCTTAAGACTTCTGATAAGTGTTTGTAAATAGGGCAGAAGGCGGTCCATGACCTCATTCAGAGTAGCAGCGACCCCAGTGCCTTGGCATTAGCGCTAGGATGATACTTAGTAATTTTGTAAAAGCTGTGCTAATTATTTACGCATTTTCCCCGGCCAGCCTTATTTAATGAACACATTGCTCACTGTCCTTCAGAGCCAGCAAAATGGCATCAGACAGGAGATGTGTAATAGCCACACAAGGATTTCCCTCGTGTGGCTAATACTCGTGTGCATGACCATTGAGAGAGAGAAAGAGAGAGATTTTATTTGTCACATGCACAGTTATACATAGTACAATGCACAGTGAAATGCTTCTTTATACTTGCAGCCAGTAGTAA